GTTCTAAGGAGACTTTCGGGATCTCAACATCTCAAAATTTCAGTGTACTTCTAGTACCTTTCTTATTTTCGAGGCATTTGCTTAGTTTTACCGCCCTAAAATTTATAGGCAATTGAATTTTCGCCTGTGACCGCGCTGTTAGCAACGATTGCACACTGTAGTCATCGTCCAAAATATAGTGCTAGGTTGATGTATCCGAAAACACCACTGAGTACATCCGATTTCAAAATAGCACTTCAGGTTCCCAAACTCTTAAATAGCTTGATACGGGAGAATTTCGATCCACACCTAATTTGAAGGTTATCACAATAATTATACTAAGGGTGTTCGTATCCCCTTTATTGCTTGTTGTTCTTACTGAAATTTGTTCCTTTTCGAAAATGAGAAACTCGGCCTGTTTATGTTTCCCGTGACTTCCGCAACAGAGCTAATGGAGACAGCGTTGTTCTAGACCGAAAATATTGGAACAAGATTGTCTTGTTAGTCTGATTTTCTCTTCTAAGGCATGCAGTGATGTAAGGGATAAACCTGTCATCTCATAGCAGTACATTTGCAAACGTAACAATTTGTTAAAGGAAGAAGTTTATCTAATGTCTGCAATTAGTTTATAACAGATTGCTTTTTGCATTGATTTGTTTCTACCAGCCCACCAAACTTGTTGGGTTATAGAAAATGTCAATTGGTTAAATGTAGTTAGGCTAAAAACAAAAAAGAGACGGAAATGAGAAGAAAGGAATGACTGTTTTCGTAGAGAGTGGTGACGTCACATTCTGGTTTCTCGGTGGCGACTGCCACCCCTGCATACAGGAAGGAACATCACCGGCAGTTGTTCATTCCGAACGTCTGAGATGATCAAGTTGTCACAAAAGAGTCGTCAAATCCTTAACTATTAGATATTTTCAAACATTAATAATCACTGAAATATTGATTCAGTCAGGGTGATGGTGAGATGAGCAAACAAATATCGCTGCTGACTGCAACAAAAACACTGTCAACGGCTTTGGCTGGCCTTGTTAGTCTCCTTTGAAATTCTTCTTAATCTGGATCCTTTTTTTTGAGCGATATGAAGAATCTCCTGGCAGAAAAGCACTCTCGTTCCTGTTCATGGTGAATGAATTAAATTTGCAGAAGTTTTAGAGCTCTTGTTTTTTTATGGAAATCTCCACTACTATTTGTCTTCAAGTTAGCAGAGCAGGAAGAGAATTCCTAACAGATGAGTCAGCGCATACAAGGACTAGAACAGTAGTGATATGGCCTTAGAGTAACCTGGCCCATGTTGACCAGAATTCAAAAAACCTGAACCGGCTTGATATGAACCAGCAAAGTTTGCATTCCGCCAACAAGTCTCCGCAAATAACGTTAATCAAGCCGGTTTGCCTATGAGGACCTCATGTTGTACAAGAATTTTTCTGTTCTTTTCCATCTCACTTGCTTTTCAAGCAGAGCGGTTCACCTTCGTAGATTTTTTCATTTAATGGCCTCACTATCTAAGGTGTCAACTAACCTTTCATCGTCATAGTTTGCAAAAAAATGAGGGGAAACTAAAGTTTCCTCTTTCGGAAGCACTAAATGCTTAGGAGAAGTTGACAATTATGGGCTTCAAAAATGAAGTATTTTTCACATCACATTTCGAATCGTGGTTTCGAAAGCGCAGGTGCATCAACAAGTAAGTTTACTACTAACGGCAAACATCTATCCACATACGTCTAACCTACACTGCACTCCGATTAGGTTCAGTAGTTTTCAGAATCATTTCCTGCTCCTTCTTCGTCGCTGCAGAACATCTCTCATGTTGGAAGTAGTCACTGGTCGGTGCTTTCTTTATTGTTCGCTACTTAGTGAGTCATGTCATCTTTGACGTTGTATTTCGCCGAACTGAACCATACAAGTGCTCAGGTAGCAGGCCGTCTCCGCGCGACGCTATTACTTCTAGTACACCATGAAGATGCACAGATCCGTCATCGTCATCCTGTTTTTGCAATAATCACATTATATCAAAACCACTTCACTCATGTGTTAGGACGTAACAGAAAACAACAGAACAATATTGATGATTCCTTTCAATCTCGCTTCATCTCCATATCTGAAACGTACCTGACGTGATATTATCTTTTCTTTTTATAAAAAAATCACTTATTAATGTCGATATGGGCAATGGATAGTCGTTCTTTCTTTTAATTTGCCCTGAATTTTGTTGAGAGTTCTGTTATAACTCATTCTCTAGAACTATCCGAGTAGTCCTCACTCAGTGAACAATGTGAGTACTTTCGAGCGCCGCTCATCGAAAGCAGTAAAACGAAACCAGTAAGGCTTGCATTACGAACTTCTTTCAATCATCTTATGCATGTTTTCATCTCGACCGTCAATGGGTTCATTGTCGTTGCTGTTCTACTCCGTGTGCTCTTAACGACATCGTTCTTTTCTACTCAAATATTCCACTTTGTTCTGTCAACACTATCGATTATTTTGACTTCGCAGTTCTTAGCATACTAATTGAAAATTTACCATGGCTTTAACTATAGTGATGCTGGCACAGTTGCAAAACTCCGGAGCGCAGGTGTCTGCGGTGAGGATCGAACCCGCTATTACCCTTTCCCGGAGGCTAACACATTCACCACCACACCATGCGGGTCCTTCGTTTCTCCTTTCTTTTTTTTTACCACGACTTTCTTCACCAGTTCATATTTTGTACTGCGTAAGCGGTCGTAGTGGCGTGACTAAACGACGATATTCTCGATTACCTACGTAACTGTGTGTCGCTGTTCCACAAAACCTCTCCAACCATCTGAAGTCCGTCTTCGAAATACAAATCATTCACTACGCCATCGTCTTACCCCTTTGAACTATTCTGGTCTATCCTCGGCAAATGGACGCCCTCACCGAATTACACTAAGAACACTAACACTTCTAGTACTTACCCTACCTTGTTTCTCAAGCGCGATTTCTAGGAGGTGTATTACTGTATCAATCATTCTTCCCCTTCTCACCCTCTGTCATTCTGTCATGTCATGTCATGTCACTACTGTCATTATTATCTATCTTCTCCCTTACTGTAATAATCACTGCAAGGACAGACCATGGAAAATGCGTGTTCCATTCGTGGACAACAGACCGAGCTTGGTAGCAAGTAGAATGATGACCTAAACCTCAATCGGCTATTGATGAAGCCGTCGCTCATGCTTCTCAACCGGATTGCCAGTATTCCACGAAGAAATGTTCACATTCCTAACTGGGATCATGTACACGTAACGCGTTAACCCATGTTATTCAAAATCCTGGAGATTCACGCTGATGCGAGATTATGCTCTTGCGTGAGAGAAATTTGGCTATACTCGTCGATTTCTCTACGACCATTGAGAATTATTCGATTTGGAAAGCAGTGATGACCCATTGAATATCTAAACACCTATTCCCGTTACCTTGACATGGCACGTTTCCGAACTTTCTAAATCATTATCATGGATGTGGTCGCAGCACATGAATGTCTCGCCGATGGTCCTAGTCATCAAGGTTTGTCCCGCGTCACGGTGAATCCATCGAAAATCTGAAGCTCTATCCTTCTCTCCTTGACAATTCGTTATCGTGCACGTATTAACAGCACTCGAATGTCTTCTCGATAATCCTAGTCGACAATGTGTG